CATCTGTACCCCTTCGTGCTGCTCCTGGAAGCTCAGACACAGCAGCTTCCCTCCCCACACCCGTGGCTAAAGGCTACAAAGACTAAAGTCCAGAAAGGTGCTATTGGATCAGCACCTCTCCGATGGAACCTCACTGAATTAGAGTCCAACGCTCCCACCACAGCGGTACTTGGCTGCTCAGGTCAGTCTACACGTGACTCAGCATTTCACTCTCTTCCGAGCGAGGCTTCAGAACAGAAAAGCTGAACACCACAGGATGCAGAACGTCCTCGTCAAAGGTTTACTTCAGTAGTTTTTAATTGAAAAAGCCCTAAGCCCTACATTAAATGAAGGGAAAAGCTGAAGGAAAGACAGGCCACGAGGTGCAGGTTCCGCACAAGAGATCATCGTTTAGAGGCACATTCTGACTCCGGAACCGCCCGTTGCACCGCTGCTGCCTGAGGCCGGATGGGTGAACTCTGCTGGAAAGCCCCTGGGAAGCTATGATTCGCAACAGAGGCCAAAACTGTTTCACAGTGACACCTCAAAGGAAGGGACATTTGACCTGGAAGGAGGACAGACTTTCTGGACATCCCCCTTTCCACCATTTCTATGGTTTGCTGTGAGCGCTGGAGGAAGGAAACTGAGGATGAAAGCATTCGATGCTGAACAGAAGCCGAAGGTGGCAGGTCGTGCTGCCACGTGGTCCTCGGGACAAGCCCCCTCGAGGATTCCATCAGTCAAACCGCAGCTTAAACTGGAGACGCACTGAACACAAACACACATGCCTTTGACTTTAACTGCACACAGGTGAGTACCAGGACCTCACGTGGACCTGGATTAGTGTGCTGGGGGTCCCTGAACAAAATACCGCACGCTGGGTGGCTTGAGCCCAGCAGTTTTCTCACAGATCTGGAGGCTCTTAAGTCCAAGATCAAGGAGTCGGCAGGGCTGCTTGCTTCTGAGGCCTCCCTGCTTGAGGTGCTGTGGCCGCCCTCTCCTGCCTCCTGACGCAGTCGTCCCTCTGTGCACCTGCACCTCTGGCATCTCCTCCTCTTCTTACAGGGACACCAGTCATGCCGGATAAGCGGGCCCACCCTGCCGGCCTCATTTTACCTTAATCACCTCTTTAAAGATTTGCTCTCCAAATAGATTTAGAGTCTGAGATACTGGAAGTTGGGCCCCCAATGCCAACTCATCATTGTCTCATAAATCACACCCAGACTTCATTCTGTCCAATGACCTGGTACTCCCCACCCCAATCACCACCACTTATGGACAAAATGGCCAAGAGGTGAGTCAGCAGAATGATGCGGAATGAGGAAGTTAGCAAAAAGCTAACTAAATAACCCCAAACAGCAGTGAACGTACCCGAAGCCTCTCCTTCTGCAGGGCGGCTCTGAACAGATAACGAAGGTCCACGTCCACCCTCCTTAGGACTCATGTGTTTCAGCAAGTTCAGTCCAACCACAATGAACCAACAGTTTCTTCCCGACCTGCCCTCCACCCCAAGTCTCCCTTCACCTAAAAGGAAAACCTCAGGGATAATCCACAGACCCAACTCGGAATCTGGAGAACTAAGTAAATAATATCCTAGAAGTCTGACTATCCTTTAATTGGGAAATGAAAGCACAAAATAGGAGGAAAAATAGCGGAACAGCCCTGAATTCCAATATGGCGGAGACAACAGGCATCAACTGTGTGGAGACGTGTGAACTGTGAAGAAGCCCTGCCTTGCCTCAGTGCAAACTGTGTGTGATCACTGCCAAGAGCACCCCTGGCGGGTGGAGCACACATGAGGGCAGGAGACTGAGCTGGGCAGAGGTCAGCAGCCACCCGTCCTAGTCTTTGACAGCAAGCCATGCAGGTTACCAGTTTTTCTCATTTAAAGATGCGTCCCCCATCCCCCGCCCCAGGCAAAAAATTAAAAGATAAAAAGATTACTCCAGCGCAGAAGGTTACGACGTGATTCCATTGTGAACCAGAGTTCTTCATCTGGCTCTACTATCAGTGATACAAAAAGCAAAGTAGCAGACTCTGCTTCGACACCACAGTGTTCTCCACTGCACGGTCTCACACGTACTTATTGCACCGTAAGTCAAATGATGCTCACGTGTCTATAAAGGAAACTCCACTCAAATATTTTGATGTTCTCTTAATGGAAGCAATTACATTCTAAAATTTTTCTATCTCAGAAAAATCTTTTCCATGTGGCATTTGCCCTCAGATAAATGGTACAAGGATACAAGAAAACTTAATTCTTCAATTTGCAAAAGCACATTTAAGCGCACTCAAATTGCCAGTACGTTGGTCTTACATGTCTGAAGCATGACTGTGCTATTGTTTCCATAAGGATCTCCAAACAGGTAAGAAACTGTTAAGTGGACTTACCATTTATCTAACTGGACATGTTTTAAAGATATACCTTTGCTTTTGTAGACTGCGATGAAAAATCCCTAGGCGCTCTGAGTCTCCTGTCAAAGCACAGTATGCTTGACGGACCACCAATACACACAGTAGGTTTCTCATTATTTTGGCTTCCAGCAAATTAGCATACTATCAGTTTATGAGAATTATAATCCAAACGCAGTACCACTAATGAAATAAAACCCAGCGTGAAACTGCTTAAACCGCTTATACTATGCAGTTCCAAGGAAGTAATGTGCAGAATCCAATTAAAAAACCAGTTTTCATCTCTTAGAGCTGAAAATCATGAACAAAGTCGAGTTATAGTGAAAGGAGAGGGTGTTAGCAGGTGTCCCATGAGCAGGTTCTGGGTCCGGTAGCATGAGATGCCTGGCTTTGGAATGTTTCTTGCTTTTCCCTGCCCACACCTTTCCCCACCTCCAGCCTGCTATCCCTCTGTCATAACAGAGCCTCTATGAGGACACGGGCAGGGCTGCTGGCTGCAGCACTGAATGCCTAGCACCTAGAACATGGGCACTGGTGATCACCTGATAAACGCGGCGGCAAGTGAATGAACGAGTGTCTCCTCCACCAATCCCCACTCTCCCCTCCCGGTCAGCCAACAGCTGGAGGGAAGAGGAGAACAACGGCCAGTGCGCACCTCTCTTTGGACTTGACTGGATCAGAGGTGCAGGATGAACTATGCAAGAACACCAAACCCTGCCCCTGACACAGACACAGAAATGGGAAGGCGAGGGCTGCAGTCAGCAACTGGGAGGCACTGCCCTGCTGGAGTAGGTCTCCCCAACCAGTGATTCCTCCCCTTAAAATTCTGCTCAGATCCTCACCTGACTCCAGCCATTCCTAGGAGAACTCGACCATCTGACAATGGTAGGCTTCTATAAATTCCTCTCTCTGGCTACAGTTGTGAACACAGTGCTCTGAAGGCCAAAAATTTTCTAGCAGCAGGCAAGAGCATTTAGGAAATTAACGAACGAGAATCCTATTACCAGTAAAATCTTGCTTTGGTGTAAGGACCAAGCTGGTGCCATCATGGGATTGGGCACCTCAGTGGTTGACAATATGGAGTAAGGAATACGACCGAGAGGTGAACTGATGGAGTTCAAACATACTTGTAGAAAGGCAAGCTCCTGACTGTTTACTGAGGTCCATGATTGGCTTTGAATCAAGGCAACATGCTGCTTACAAACATGATGCGCAATAATATGTGGTACATAAAAAGCCATTTAGACTTATTCTGATTTGTGGATATCATTTCATTTATAGCGTTCAGGCTTGCGATTTAAATTTGATTTTCTGTTTTGCTCATCCAGTCTCCCAAAGTGACATATTTAAGTACTTCTTCAAAATGTTTTTGACTCAGCAACACTGCTTGTGGGAGTTGATCCCAAGGAAATAAACCTAAATAGAGAGATGTTTTGGCCAATAGATGTTTCATGAAGCATTATTTATCCCTAAAAATGACTTAAATATTTCATAGTTATAAAATAGTAAAGAAAAATAAAGAACATTCAATTGGTTGAAAAAATTCATCATTAAAAGTGGGTGCCTGCACAGCTAAGGATACCATCAACAAAACGAAAGGTAACCTACAGAATGGGAGAAAATATTTGCAAATGATGCAACTGACAAGGGACTAATTTCCAAAATATGCAAATAGCCTATACAGCTTAATATCAAAAAAAAGTAACCCAATCAAAAAATGGGCAGAAGATCTAAATAGACATTTCTCCAAAGAAGACATGCAGATGGCCAACAAGCACATAAAAATATGCTCAACATCACTAATTATCAGAGAAATGCAAATCAAAACTACAATGAAGCATCACCTCACACCAGTCACAACGGCCATCATTAAAAGTCCACAAACAATAAATGTTGAGAGGGTGTGGAGACAAAGGAACCCTCCTACACTGCTGGTGGGAAAGCAGTATAAAGATTTCTCAAAAAACTAAAACTAGACTTACTATATGATCCAGCAGTCCCACCCCTGGGCATATATCCAGAGGAAGATATAATTTGAAAAGACATATGTACCCCAATGTTCTTAGCAGCACTATTTACAATAGCTAAGACATGGAAACAACCCAAATGTCCATCAGCAGATGACTGGATAAAGAAGTTGTGGTGTACACACACACACACACACACACACACACTAGAATACTACTCAGTTATAAAAAAGAATAAAATAATGCCATTTGCAGCAGCGTGGATGGACCTGGAGATCATCATTCTAAGTGAAATAAGTCAGAAAGAGAAAGAAAAATACCATATGATATCACTTATATGTGGAATCTTAAAAAAAAAAAGCAGACACAAATGAACTTATCTACAAAACAGAAACAGACCCACAGACATAGAGGACAAACTTATGGTTACCAGAGGGTAAAGGGGGTGGGAAGGGACAAATTGGGAATATGAAATTTGTACCTCCTGGGGAGTGATGGAAATGTTAGCCATCTTCATAGGTGTATACACCTGTCAAAACTCATCAAATAGTTCATCTGAAGTATATGTAGTTTACTGTATAGGAATCATGACATGATAAAGGTGTTAAAAGTTTTTAATGATAAAAAGTGGGTGTTAGGAAGACAAAACAACAAGAGAAAAGTGCCTGTCGTGGGAGATTAGAGATGAACCACCAGTAAGACACACAAGTGAAGATCTCTAGCAAATGGTGGGAAATGCAGGTGCAAAACATAGACGTTTGCAGAGAAGTCAAGCTTTGTGCAGGGGACAACAGAACAAATAAGAGAAGTTGAAAGAAAATATTAGGGGACCACAGCACGAGGACAGCTGCACTGGAAGATGCCATAAAAGGACAATTTAAAAACAGTGCTCAGAGAGGTGGAATAAACAAAAATTAGAGTCATAAAGAAGGGATGACAGTATTGGTTTACTCATATATAAATTTAGAGTGATTATTTCTACCCTCAGGTGTTGTTCTGAACCTGATAGTCAGTGTTCCCTCTTCGGTCTATCCATCAGCAACAAGAAAGAGGCAATCGAACGCCCAGGGAAGATCCAGGAGGATGGGGACTGGTGGCCAGGCAAGGGACATGGTTATCAGAGGATGTTAGGGACTCCAGGACAGAGCAGTTCCGGAAGCGAGAGGTGACAAGGCAGGAGAGGAAGAGAGAAGTGGGGCAGGAGCTGGGCGATCTGGCTTGAAGGAGGGGCGGACCACAGCATTTCTGGGGCCAGGAAAGTTCTACGCCCGGAGCAAGAATGGAGGGGCGATGCAAGAGGTCCTGGAGGAGTGAACGCAGCAAGTCCTGAAGAGGCGAGGGGAAGAAATGGGGCGCACGCAGAACCGGCTTTGACAAGGAGACGGCACCTCTGTGTCCAGCTCAGGAGTGAACTGCAGGCAGGACGCAGGAACGCAGGCCTTCTGAAATGAGTGAAGGAGAAGGAAGTCGAGACCACGCCCAGCTGACGGCCTGGATTAAACGTGTTTACGAAGCACGAGCTGCGTGCAAGGAGCCCAGAGTGGACGGTCGTGTTATCTGCGAGGCAGCAACAGGGGACACAGTGGATGCTGAGAACAGGCATAGGAAAGCACAGGTCCCAGCCGCACTCATCCGTACCCTGCAGTGCCACCTAGCAAGGCAGAGCGCACAGAATCACGGCCACACGCAGACGCCTCCGAGGCAAGGGTCACGGCCTGGTCCCCAGCAGGATCCCAAGGCTGGGATTCCCACCAGATGGAAACGGCTCCAGTCCCGGCAGGACGTCTGCACCGCACAGGACGTGTACCCGCTCCGAAGGGACAGCGTGGGGTCACACACACTTGTGCAACTGCTTCCTACTCAAGACTGAATCCTGTGTTAAATTAGCAGGTTGGCAAATTCGCCCATGTTGAAAAGTAATGAGGAAAAGCAACCCTTCTGAAACGTAGGGTGAAGACGGGCGTGCGTCTCCCGAACAGCAAAACTCTGGAGCAGCGGGGGTGAGACACATTATCGCTGCGTTAACGAAATTGGGACTTTATCAATGAGCCTTCTGCCCGTGTGGGAGAGTGAGTTTGAGCCTCTTCATTTTCCAGGAGACGGGACAGTCCAGAGGCTGCCACGTCACATCAAAGCCACGCCCAGGTGTGGGCTCCGGGGCTCCCTGCTCCCTCTGCAAGGATAACACAACTTTGACAAGTTTCCACGAAGCAGCACGAGGTCTTCCCTTAAAAGCCGGCAATACTTCCAAAGGCAGGCCCTGTCTCCTCTGCTCTGCTCTGCCCTCGTGTCTGCCCCATTCACTTTTAATTTTTTTTCTTTTTTTTTTTTGAGAGGGGGGCAGTAATTAGGTTTATTTATTTATTTGTTTTTAATGGAGCTACTGGGGATTGAACCCAGGACCTCATGCAGGCTAGGCATGCACTCTACCATTAAGCTCTACCTTCTCCCTACCTTTTTTTTTGAGGTGGGGAGGACCAAGTATTTACTTCTGTGTGGAGTCTGGTAGAAGAGCTCACAAAAGCTACTTCCAATCTGGATACTTCAGAGTCAATATAACAAATGACGCCTTGACTAACAGGTTCCAGTGGCTCACAAGTGACTCCGAAGGGGAGCTGCTGTGTTTTGTTTTCCCCGGTGCAGCCCACGCATCTGGCAGACTGCACACCTCCTACAAAACAATTTCATTCATGGATTCCGCAATTAACTCGCAGGTATCAGGGATTCTATCCCGGCAGTCCCTGAGAATAAGCCCCCCTGCCACAGCTGAGAGACAGTTACCAGGGAGCACCAGCTCCATGGGTTTGCACATCAGGTGGAAAAGGGGCAGTCAGATAGCTGAGCGGCAGAAACACAAATGAGAACTCGGAGCTGCATTTGAATAGAAGTGCGGTGGTTCCTTTAGGCTGAAGGGACTGGGTAAGAAAAGGAAAATCTTGCTGCCACTGCTCATGTCATTTAGATGGTGTTGCAGTTGTCTTCTGGGATTTTGTTTGTTTGTTTGTTTGTGTTTGCTACCCCCCTAAATGGATTTTGATCAGTTAAAAAATGTCCCTAAATCATCCCATGTGCAGATAGGGTTTTTCTGCCTTTCTTCTCTTTAGCTCTGTATAATCTTGAAATCAACCTTGCAGAAGCATATTTTAAGCCTCTGAATGGGATCTGGATACAAAAAAGTGCCCATCAGTCAAAGCGGATTATCAAAGCCATCCTGTCTATTTCAGGGTCTAAAAAAACAAGGCAGAGCTGTTTGTTCACAATCCATCACTATTCGTACCCACTAGCAGGAACTCAAGATAAACAGGGTACAGAATTTAGCTGAGGCTTCTGTTGTAAATTGTCCTGGTTTGATGTCCTGGGCTCCCAGGGGAGCTGGAAGCTCAAGAGAGTCGGTGGGGAGAAAGCTCAGTTCAGGCCACCAGTATGCCCCCATCACACAGCAGGTGTCAGTGTACATTTAAAAATGCATCCCCATAGATATGTCTGGATCAGGAAAAGAGAACAGGGAGCAGCTGAGGAGGAATCACAGTGGTCGTGTCTCTGTTTCAGGATCACTGTGCAATTGGACTTTCGGGGCCCAAGAAGGACGGGGGGACTCTCCTGCTCTAAGGATGCATTTGCCTAAAAAGGATGTAGACCCACCCCTATACTCCCAGGTACGCAACCCAGAGAAGCTCTCGCACAGCTGTGCCTGGAGATGGTGAGATGGACGATCTTAATGGCACGGTTCTAACCACAGACAGTGACCCCACCCACATACCCAGGCACGAAGAAGGGATGACCCGGCCGGGAGGTACTCCTCCAAAAGGAACAAACCACAGCTGCACCCATCACCACAGAGAGATTACAAACATTCAAAGTAAAAAGCACGTCACAGAAAAAATACGTATTGGATGATTCAAGGACCACAGCAGCCAAAACATAGGAAAATACTTTTAAGGGAAACACAAATAGGTGAGGAGGCTGTAAAGCACAAGGGGGTGACCCAAAAATCTGACTGCAGACGACATCAGAAGAACGTAGAGATGCACAGCTAAGGGCCCAGAGAGCATCTAAGGAAGCTGGGCTGGAAATGGCACAGAGACTCATGTTACTATTTTTTTTCAACTTTACAAATTAACGTACTTATTTGCTTGTACGGATGAGATGTTTTGATTTGAAAGAAAAAAAGAAAGAAATGATGCTGATGTGCACCATCAGTCAGCTGGAACAAGGCAGAAACCTGGACCGTGGGAAAGCGCGTGGCTCCACATGTGACGTGTAGCCGGCTGAGCTACGCTTCCCAAAGTGTGTTCCCTGGAACACTGGCCACGACACACTTCACAAAAATAAATAAAGAGCTCCCTAAAAGGAAAGTCAGGGAAACATTGCAATGCTAAGCCCTAGCTCATCTTCCACAAATTCACAGTGTACATTAACATATGAAGGTTTCTAAGGAAATTGCTATGAGGCAACATTTTCACTTGGTTCAACGAGGGGTTATCCGATCTTACATGACCAATCCATTAGGTAGAACTTACCACGATGCCAAAAGGAAATGTTTGACAACACCCCAACATATGCAGCTAAATCATATAAATCCTACCCTAGCCCAAAAGTGCACTAGAGCACTCGGAAGAAGTCAGATTTCTCATAGGAACGTCTACGTATGTGATCTTTCCAAAGCAGCAAAAAATACCATTGAATTAAGGGTTTGGGATTAACAGATACCCAGGACTATATAGAAAACAGATAAACAACAAGGACCTACTGTACAGCCCAGGGAACTCTATTCAGCATCTTGTAATAACCTATAATGGAAAAGAATCTGAAAAAATAAATATATATGTATACGCATAACTGAATTGCTTTGCTGTACACCTGAAACTAACACTGTAAATCAACTTCAATAAAAAATAAAATTAAAAACGGAAAAGATCACTGATCACGCTGATTAAAAAGGAAAATTACCTGTCATGTTCTCCCTCTACCTAGGATGCTACTAGCGGCCCACAAAGCCACCCCAAACACCTCTTTCCCAAGCAGATTCTTAAAATAACTCTTCCACCATGAAGAACAAACTTGGATGCACTGGCAGCAAAGACAACTTGTACTAATACATTTGTTCTAAGGAATTAGGGAGGCCATTGTAGTCTTCAATTTATAGCACACGAGGAATGCTTAAAGAATATTCTGGTAAAACAAAACGAAACACTTAGCTCTGCTCTAGGGACAGCAGGGATGCCCAAGATGTATTATCAAATAAAAAAAGCAATTTGACAAAACTTAACACACTTTCACCATTAGATCCTCATGGCAATTCTGCTCCCCAGTATTTACTCAAAGGAGCTGAGAACGTACGTCCACATAAAACCTGCACGTAGGTGTTTATAGGAGCTTTACTCACAATGGTGAATATTTTGAAGCAACCAAGACGCCCTTCAGCAGGGGAATGGCTAAATAAACTGTGGCACATCCAGACGATAGAATGTAATTCAGTGCTTAAAAAAATAAAGGAGCTATCACATCATGAAGAAAAAAAAAAGGACACAGAGGAACTTAAATGCACATCACTAAGTAAAAGAAGCCACATAATGTATGTATCCAACTACATGACATTCTGGAAAAGGCAAAATTGTGGGGCCAAAAGGATCAGTGGTTACCAGGGCTTGGAATCTCAGGGAGGGATGAACAGGTGAAGACACCCAGAGGATTTTTAGGGCGGGAAAGGATTCTGTGTGATACAAGAATGGTGGATAGATGCCATTCTACATTTATCCAAACTCTTAGAGGGAAAACACCAGGAGTGGATCCCAAGGTGAACCAGGGACCTTGGGTGAGAATGAAGAGCCAATGTGGGTTCATCAAGTATGAGAAATCTCCCACTCCAGTGGGGGTGCTGGTGGTGGGCGTGCTGTGCATGGGAGGGGCAAGAGGGTACACCGGAAATCTCCGT